TTTTTTTTTTTTTTTAACAAACTTCCCCAGATCCTGCCTACCAAACTTACCTAACTATCTTCTGGAGCGTGCCGGGCTCGAGGCGACTTTAAAGGCAAACATCAGCGGCCGAAACCCTGAAACGCCTGCCCCCAACAGGGAATAAATCCCCACCCAGGATTACCCCGAAAATAAAAAAGGCAAAATAAAAAATGAGTGCCTGAAGGAAAGACTGAGCCCAGCTAGACACTCCCCTATCTAAACTGAGGAAGCTTTTAAACAGCAAGATACTTCACAGCCAATGCTACCAAACACAATATCAACGCTAAACCTCAAACAGATACTCACTCTTTGTCTCAAAGATCGGACGAGCCCCCATTTGTTACGTTCCCTCCAAATCTAGGGGTACGAAGGGGAGTAACAAAACACAGAACGACCAGGCACGAGAAAAAAGAGGGAAGAGAGAGAGAGAGAGAGAGAGAGAGAGAGAGAGAGAGAGAGAGAGAGAGAGAGAGAGAGAGAGAGAGAGAGAGCTGCTAGACACAACTCTTATTAATCCCTGTACCGGACAATTGTTATTTGTTCCAAATCGGAACCGGATTCCGTGGTCTTAACCGGTCTTGACATAAAACTCGAGTCCTATAGGTCTGATACAGAGACAATACGAAACCAAATGCAGTCGATTCCGAGACCAATACCGTTAAAAAGTGGTCTGGAGACCGGTCTCGAGTACAACACCAGCAAATATTCTCATACTAATGATTATTAATTATTATTCCCCTCTCTTCTGATACCAATACTGTGCCGATGAGAAGGTGTACCTGTAACACTCTCCAAACTACTGTAGGAGCGGAATCATTCGAAAAATATAATATAGGATAATGCTATACAATGCTAACGGAGGCGAGACGTACGTTATTCATGCGCTTATCCACACGTACGTTATTCACGCGCATATCCACACGTACGTTATCAACACGCATATCTAAGATAGTGCTTTCTAAGCTACGCCACCGCTACGTGAGCGCGTACTTTGAGCGCACCTATGGTACGTCGCCGTGACGTCTGACATCGTCGTGACGTCGCCTGTATTCTACGTCAACCCATTCAAAATTGATGGAGGCGTTGGCGCACGTTGACACGTCAGTTCTCCGCTCAGTTTGCTTAGTTATCTGTTCTTTGGCACAAATCACACCTCATACTAGTCATGACAATGGGTGCTATTCCACCACACGCGGCGCGTTACGGCTCAGAAGCGTCCCATAAGGGTCCCAGAAGCGTCCCAGAAGCGTCTCGGCGCAGGGCTCCTGGATGAATCCTATTTTTGACGGGTCGCAGCCGTAACGTAATGTCGGGCAGGCAGGAAGTGGAACGTTCAGAGCATATATAGCATATATATATAATATATATATACACACACACACAAACTAATTTTGCAGACCCTATCCCTCTGTAGTCTTTCAAGTAGGAGGAGAAATGCCAGCGTTCTCCTCCGGTTTACAGGCACTGTGTAAATTATATATATAGAATAATTATGATGATGAATGCATTTTTTTACCACTAAAATACAGCAACACATCTTTGATTTATGTCGTTTATAACTGGAATATTACAGTTATTATTAACTTTGTCTGTACAAAGTAGCCTGTCCAGGAAATATGCCCAAATCAACAAAAACTGCGAGCCAGACGCTCCGCTTCTGAAATGCTTCTGAAATGCTTCTGAAATGCGCCCGGTAGGGTATGATGCCGGAGGAGGCCGGACCAAAACCGCGGCGCAGCCGGACCCGGTGGAATCTAGGGTAACAGGTATGTGAAAGAACAGTGCTGGACAAGTACACAGAGGTTTTACACCGTGGTGAAGTTCGTTTTAGGTTGGATCAGCGCCATATAGAGAGATATATATATATATAGTGGCTCAAAGAACTACACTTGCTGCTTAGGACACACCTCTTTTTATTCCATTTCAATACTCTAAATATTTTATATTAATATTTTTGATGTGTAGTTATTTGAGCCAGCATTGATTTTGAGTGATTAGGTCACATGACCTGGAAGGTATTGAAGAAATAAGCAAATTTTTCCATCAAAAATATTGATATAAAATATTTAGAGTATTAAAATGCAATAAAAAGAGGTGTGTCCTATGCAGCCAGTGTAGTTCTTTGACCCAGCACTGATTTTGAGTGATTAGGTCACATGACCTGGAAGGTATTGAAGCAATATGCTCATTTTCGCATACAAATATTAATATAAAAATATTTAGAGTATTAAAATGCAATAAAAAGAGGTGTGTCCTATGCAGCCAGTGTAGTTCTTTGAGCCAGCATTGATTTTGAGTGATTAGGTCACATGACCTGGAAGGTATTGAAGCAATATGCTCATTTTCCCATACAAATATTTATATACAAATATTTAAAGTATTACAATTCAATAAAAAGAGGTGTGTCCTATGCAGTCAGTGTAGTTCTTTGACCCAGCACTGATTTTGAGTGATTAGGTCACATGACCTGGAAGGTATTGAAGCAATATGCTCATTTTCGCATACAAATATTAATATAAAAAAATAATGAGTATTAAAATGCAATAAAAAGAGGTGTGTCCTATGCAGCCAGTGTAGTTCTTTGAGCCAGCATTGATTTTGAGTGATTAGGTCACATGACCTGGAAGGTATTGAAGCAATATGCTCATTTTCCCATACAAATATTAATATACAAATATTTAAAGTATTAAAATTCAATAAAAAGAGGTGTGTCCTATGCAGCAAGTTTAGTTATTTTATCCAGCACTGATTTTGAGTCATTAGGTCACATGATCTAGAAGTTATTGAAGAAATATGCAAATGTTTCCATCAAAATATTAATAAAACGTATTTAAAGTATTAAAATGCAATAACAAGAGGTATGTTCAACAAATGTATGCTCTAGAGTTGATTTGCTTCACATTCACTCGATCGGGAAGCTGTTGATTTATTAAAAAGAACATTTTTCTTGTGTAATTGAAAAGTAATTTGTTGAAGGTCCCTAAGTGAAAGCCTCGTTTCGCGCAGAAGATCTCCCCGTCGTAATACAGCCAGCAGCAGTGACGCTGCTGGCTGGTCCGCGAATGTCCGTCGAATATCCAACCTAAAACTGAAAGTACAGAGTAGGAAAAATTAGCTTATTTCTTCAATACCTTCCAGGTCATGTGACCTAATCACTCAAAATCAATGCTGGCTCAAATAACTACACTGGCTAAATAGGACACACCTCTTTTTATTGCATTTTAATACTTTAAATATTTTATAATAATATTTTGATGGACAAATTTGCTTATTTCTTCAATACCTTCCAGGTCATGTGACCTAATCACTCAAAATCAATGCTGGGCCAAAGAACTACACTGGCTGCATGGGACACACCTCTTTTATTCCATTTTAATACTCTAAATATTTTTATATTAATATTTGTATGCGAAAATGAGCATATTGCTTCAATACCTTCCAGGTCATTTGACCTAATCACTCAAAATCAGTGCTGGCTCAAAGAACTACACTGGCTGCTTAGGACACACCTCTTTTTATTGCATTTTAATACTTTAAATATTTTATATTAATATTTTGATGGAAACATTTGCTTATTTCTTCAATAACTTCCAGGTCATGTGACCTAATCACTCAAAAACCAATGCTGGGTCAAAGAACTACACTTGCTGCTTAGGACACACATCTTTTTATTCCATTTTAATACTCGAAATATTTTATATTAATATTTTTGATGGAAAAATTAGCTTATTTCTTCAATACCTTCCAGGTCATGTGACCTAATCACTCAAAACCAATGCTGGGCCAAAGAACTACACTGGCTGCATGGGACACACCTCTTTTTGTTCCATTTTAATACTCTAAATATTTTTATATTAATATTTGTATGCGAAAATGAGCATATTGCTTCAATACCTTCCAGGTCATTTGACCTAATCACTCAAAATCAGTGCTGGGTCAAAGAACGACACTGGCTGCATAGGACACACCTCTTTTTATTCCATTTTAATACTCTAAATATTTTATATTAATATTTTTGATGGAAAAATTTGCTTATTTCTTCAATACCTTCCAGGTCATGTGACCTAATCACTCAAAATCAATGCTGGCTCAAATAACTACACATCAAAAATATGAATATAAAAATATTTAGAGTATTAAAATGGAATAAAAAGAGGTGTGTCCTAAGCAGCCAGTGTAGTTCTTTGACCCAGCATTGCTTTTTGAGTGATTAGGTCACATGACCTGGAAGGTATTGAAGAAATAAGCTAATTTTTCCATCAAAAATATTAATATAAAAATATTTAGAGTATTAAAATGGAATAAAAAGAGGTGTGTCCTATGCAGCAAGTGTAGTTCTTTGACCCAGCACTGATTTTGAGTCATTATGTCACACTACCTAGCAGTTATTGAAGAAATATGCAAATGTTTCCAACAAAAATATTAATAAAAAGTATTTAAAGTATTAAAATACAATAAAAAGAGGTGTGTCCTATGCAGCAAGTGTAGTTATTTGACCCAGCACTGATTTTGAGTCATTATGTCACACTACCTAGCAGTTATTGAAGAAATATGCAAATGTTTCCATCAAAAATATTAATAAAATGTATTTAAAGTATTAAAATGCAATAAAAAGAGGTGTGTTCAATAAATGTATGCTCTTTAATAACTTTCTTTAATCTACAGGTGTAAGTTCACAGTTTCACTTTTTTCAAAATACAATACAATACAACTTTATTTGTAGTGCACTTTAAAACCTCCAGACCAAAGCGCTGTTCAGAGAAATAAAGAAACAAATTAAATACAGGAAATCACACAGCTCAGCTCACAAACCATAAAATAAGTAAAAATACAACAACAATAACAACAGCCTTATACTAAAAACAATAGACCATTTGAAAGCAATCAAAGCAACAGTGTCAGACGCTGAGGCGAAGATGAGGGTCTTCCTTTGCTCGACTTGTAGATTGAAATCCAAAATAGAGACGATAAAGACAATCAGAATGAAACACAAAGACTTTATTATGAATACATTATTTAGCAGATTCTCAGCCTCGCCCCAGAATTACTAAATGACTACGAGAAAGAAGAAAAACTCAGTTATTTATTCAATGTATTTAATCTATGTATTTACTCGAGTAAAAGTACCAACAGTTAAAGTATATCAAATGTCAAAAAGTACTAATAAAGGTATTCTGATTCTGACGGTTTATTCAACAGCCAAGCTTCATATGTTACAGTTCTTTAAATGTTTTGTGAGTTCATATTTAAATTCCTACAGTTTAGGATGTCAGATAAATGTAGCGCGGTAAAAACTACATGATTATCCTTTGAGATGAAGTGTATATAAATATAAAGTAAAAAGAAAATACTCAAGTAAAGTACAAGTACCCAAAATGTGCCTTTAAGTAAAACACTTAACTAAATGTAGATATTCATTTCACATCTGATTATTTCATACAACCCTAAAAACTGTCAAAATAATGAACAAATTTACACAAAAAATGACTAGATTTATTTTCAATCAACCCATTTATTGTTTGAGGTTTTATATATAATCTTTCATAGTTACATTTACCTTTAAAACAAGATATTTGACAAGTTATTCACATGTTTTGAGTGTCAAAATCAGCATTTGGAAAGTAATTTAGATTAATGTAGTGCAGTAAATACGTAATAAGTAAAGTACAATTACATTAAATTTGCTTAATTAAGTACATTATTCGAGTAAATGAACTTTCACCGCTGCTGATATTTAATGAATGTTATTTAAAAGCAGAGATGCAGAACAGAGAGATTATTTTACATGAAGTTTAGTTTCACACAGAAGGTCACGTCTCAAGGTTTTTGTATTTTAGTCTTCTTCTTCTTTCGTGTAACGTCAGAGGTCCAACTCGGTGTTGTGTAGCCATGCCCGCATCTCTGGTCCTGAGTGGAAGAGGCTGGCTTCAGAGGGTGGTCTATATAAAGGGCAGGTGGTGGTTATGTGTTGGGCAGTCTGTTCAGGGTCACCGCACTCGCATGCAGCGCTGTCTGCCAGGCCCCACTTCTTCATCCATGTTTTGAAGCGACCGACCCCAGTTCGTAGACGCTTCAGTGTGGTCCATTGCCGGCGTGTTTTTTAGTCTAAACAACAGCTGGACCGAAGACGGGTTTTTTCTCGATATTATTCCTCTTTTAGTGTTCAGGAGACGCTTTCCTCAACGTCCTCCACCGTCTCTCTGGAGAAGGTAAGAGCGCTCAGATATTCATTTAATACAAATATACCAACTCTTCCACAGGATGAACAAAGTATTCTGATGATGAATATATAGCATGTATAGATACACATAAAAACAATAGGTCAGATTTCACGTTAAAGCAGTGAGGGGGAAACATCAGGGAAAATATATTACAATTCAAATAAATGATAATTAAAAACATAGAAAATGCCTTAAATCTGAAAGCACTTATTTAAAAGAAAATAACCAAATGTGCTTTATGTATGTTTATTCTTTCTTTAAAGAAGTGAGAACACATATATAATAATACAGAATTGTATTACAATGATTTTACAGATGTTTAATCTAAAATAAAAAGTATACAAATATAATTTAATATTCATATTAGTAATGATTGCATAAAACAAAGAACGTGCATTAGCCTGTACCTTCAATACAAATAATTATAAATCAGCATTGCATTACAAAGACTTGTAAGAGTATGTAGTGTCTCTACTTTAAAGAGTCCTCTCCTGCTGATGTTCAGGTGTATATCAGTATGTAGTGTCTCTACTTTAAAGAGTCCTCTCCTGCTGATGTTCAGGTGTATATCAGTATGTAGTGTCTCTACTTTAAAGAGTCCTCTCCTGATGATGTTCAGGTGTATATCAGTATGTAGTGTCTCTACTTTAAAGAGTCCTCTCCTGCTGATGTTCAGATGTATATCAGTATGTAGTGTCTCTACTTTAAAGAGTCCTCTCCTGCTGATGTTCAGATGTATATCAGTATGTAGTATCTCTACTTTAAAGAGTTCTCTCCTGCTGATGTTCAGGTGTATATCAGTATGTAGTGTCTCTACTTTAAAGAGTCCTCTCCTGCTGATGTTCAGGTGTATATCAGTATGTAGTGTCTCTACTTTAAAGAGTCCTCTCCTGCTGATGTTCAGGTGTATATCAGTATGTAGTGTCTCTACTTTAAAGAGTCCTCTCCTGCTGATGTTCAGGTGTATATCAGTATGTAGTGTCTCTACTTTAAAGAGTCCTCTCCTGCTGATGTTCAGGTGTATATCAGTATGTAGTGTCTCTACTTTAAAGAGTCCTCTCCTGCTGATGTTCAGGTGTATATCAGTATGTAGTGTCTCTACTTTAAAGAGTCCTCTCCTGCTGATGTTCAGGTGTATATCAGTATGTAGTGTCTCTACTTTAAAGAGTCCTCTCCACCTCTTTTCACCCTCTGTCTGAAACCAGAGCCCAGTCTGCTCTGATTGGTTAGCTAGCCGGCTCTGTTCTGATTGGTCAACCGCTTAGAGATGTCCCGCCCCTTAGCCTATCACGTACCATGTGTTGGAGCGCTAGCCAATAGGAGCACAACTGTTACATAGTGATTTCACTATGTGCCACCACTAGTCTCCTTTGGGTTCATCTTGTTTCTCTTCGGAGCCGTTTTGCACCTCTTTGTATTCTTAGGATCTCGTAGAAGTAGTTTTTTCTTTGTGGTCCATTTGAGTCTCTCTCTCTGGTTGCTACCTTTTCTCTTTGAGGGACATTTTTAGGTGAAAGCCAGTAAGACACTTAGCCATGCCAAATAACTACATTTTTCACATGTTTTTTTATCTCCGTTCTTTCAGATTCAAGGTTTCCCTCAACCATCGTCTGCATCATGTGAGCAAATCACCATCCCTCTGTGCAGAAACCTTCCCTACTCTCAGACTGTGCTGCCGAACCTCCTGGGCCACGCCTCTCAGGAGGATGCCCGCCTGGAGATGAATCAGTTTCTTCCTCTGGTTAAAGTGAGCTGCTCCCCTCACCTCCAGCCCTTCCTGTGCTCCGTCTACGCCCCTGAGTGTGTGGTGGGGACGCCGCGGCCCCCCTGCAGGACGCTCTGTGAACATGCACGCGCCGGCTGCGAACCACTGATGAATAAGTTTGGTTTTGTGTGGCCGACAGCCCTCAGGTGTGAAGCCTTTTCCAACGAGTCCTGCGAACACGTGAGTCTGCTCTCTGAGGACAAATGTTTACGAAAAATTCAAAAGTCTGATTTCCAGTCAGAATATGTCCTCACACTCGATATAAGACCTAATAACTTAAGAAGTAACAATGCAGGGAGATATAGAGTCTTGTATCTCAGATGAAACATGTTTTTTTAGCTGCTGTGGTATTCGTAAAAGAAGGATCATCTTGTTTCAGGAAATGAATCCAACTTGATTTTAGAAAACACTTTTATTGTAAAATCACCAACTAATATCAGAACACTTTTGAGCATTTCTGGCTTTTAAAAAAAAAACAGCTGGTAGTTATGGGTACTTTTTACTGAAGTACATTTCAAAGCCCATACTTCTTTACTTTTACTTGAGTAAAGAAGTTTAGTCAGTACTTCTACTTTTACCAGAGTATTTTTAAACACGAGTATCTGTACTTCTACTTGAGTAAAGGATGTGTCCAGAGGTGGGAAGTAGTGGAGTACAAATACTTCGTTACTGTACTTAAGTACATTTTTCTGGTATCAGTACTTTACTCCACTACTTATTTTTCTGACGACTTTTTACTTTGACTTCTTACATGTTGAACACAAATACCTGTACTTTCTACTTCTTACATTCTGAACACAAATACCTGTACTTTCTACTTCTTACATTCTGAACACAAATACCTGTACTTTCTACTTCTTACATTTTGAACCCAAATACCTGTACTTTCTACTTCTTACATTTTGAACTCAAATACCTGTACTTTCTACTTCTTACATGTTGAACACAAATACCTGTACTTTCTACTTCTTACATTTTGAACACAAATACCTGTACTTTCTACTTCTTACATTTTGAACACAAATACCTGTACTTTCTACTTCTTACATGTTGAACACAAATACCTGTACTTTCTACTTCTTACATGTTGAACACAAATACCTGTACTTTCTACTTCTTACATGTTGAACTCAAATACCTGTACTTTCTACTTCTTACATGTTGAACCCAAATACCTGTACTTTCTACTTCTTACATGTTGAACCCAAATACCTGTACTTTCTACTTCTTACATGTTGAACACAAATACCTGTACTTTCTACTTCTTACATTTTGAACACAAATACCTGTACTTTCTACTTCTTACATGTTGAACACAAATACCTGTACTTTCTACTTCTTACATTTTCCAAACAGGCTGGTTCCTTTAGTTTGAATGTGTGTTTGGTGGCGTGATCATTATTATTTAGAGTCATTGCGTGCCTATTGATTTGAACACGATCCGTGTATCCATCATTTCCTGGTCTTCTCTAAAGAAGAGGGACCAATGAAAACGTTGTCATGTTGCCGTTGTTCAGCATGGAAACATTCATTAGCTAACAATGACATTATTGTTCTATTAATATAAAGGGAGGTCAGGTACTCTTTAAAACAGCTGCTAGTTATGGGTACTTTTTACTGAAGTACATTTTAAAGCCCTCTTTACTTTCACTTGAGTAAAGAAGTTTAGTCAGTACTTCTACTTTTACCAGAGTCTTTTTAAACACGAATATCTATACTTCTACTTGAGGAAAGGATGTGTGTACTTCTGCCCTCTCTGACTTGGTGCACTCTTCTTCTCTTGCTGCAGTATGGAGTGGGCAGCAGTGGGGGGGTCTGTGAGCCGATCACCATCCCCATGTGCCAGCACCTCTCCTACAACCAGACCATCAGCCCCAACCTGCTGGGACACACCAGTCAGAGGGAGGCGGTGGGGAAGATGTCCTTCTTCAACGCCATGGCTCAGTCCATGTGCCCCGTGGACGTCCGCCTGTTCGTCTGCATGGTGTACGCCCCCAAGTGTTCGGGAGGGGAAGTGCAGCGGCCCTGCAGGTCCTTCTGTGAAAGAGCCAAGCGGGGCTGCGAGGGGACGATGGCCAGCTTTGGGGTTTCCTGGCCAAACGACCTGCAGTGCAACGCTTTCCCCGAGCAAATGTGTGTATCGGTAAGAAACGGACACGTTGTGGACAGAAATATATTTAGACAGGTTTTGATTCGATTTGATTTATTTCGAACGTGTAAAACAATAACAATAATAATGAAATGAAACTGATGATACTGTACAAACCTAAGCAGTATCAAATTGATAAATTATTATTGACTTACAAATTAAATATAAACAAATGATCTACCTAGTTACACATCTGAAAAGGGGTGGGAAGAAGTTTACACTTATTTAATCCCACCCCTTCTCCCAAAAACTAAATTATTTTTTTCTAAATCTAAATGTATGTCTACATACGATATACATTTACAATTATAAATAGATGATATCATAGGGTTCAATTTGATGATGTAAATGAATGATCATTGGACCTTTGCTGTTCTGTTTTTACATGACATCCTTTCCTTTTGTTTCACAGGAAGACAGCAGGCCAGATGTGAGTATTTACCTAAATAAATGTTCATAGTTCTTACAGTAGAGGACTTAACTTAAGGGTTTAAAGGTAGCTGAAGGAAAAAGTAAGTCGTGTTGGGAAGAAGTTGGGATTTTGTCCTCATTGCTGCACCAGTGACTCCGACTGTGTTGATTTGAGAGGAATAGCATGTGCCCAGTCCAAACTGGAAGAATAAAATAGCACAGAAATCTGCTAAATTACTATTTGTACATCAGTTACTCACCTGTGTTTCCTTAAAGGGGACCTATCATGCAAAATGCACTTTTGTACGTCTTTTATACATGAATATGTGTCCCCGGTGTTCCAGGGAACTCACCAAGTGTCAGAAAACACAACCCTCTCTATTTTCCTCCATACCCAAATCTCTAAAAAAGGGGCTGCAACGGATCTGATAAAAACTGATCCAGATTTGAACACTGTCCTGACGTCAGGACGGTGGCGCTACGGCTATTGGGCCAACTCCACCAATCAGGAGGAGACAGCCACGGCCATTGCCGTTCGAAAGCGCTGGAGACGCTGTAGTACATATGCCAGGCCTGTAGGTGGTGCTGTTCTCACAGAATCAGCCCTTGCACAAACAGAGCTATAAATTGTCAAATTGAGCAAAATGAGGCATGGCTAAAATGCATGATCTGTTTGGTATTTTGAAAAAAAAAAAGTATAAATATGCCTTATATAGGTATGGTCCTACACTATATTATTCAAATATAGCATGATAGGTCCACTTTAAATAAAACGTCAGAGTGATCGAATAATCAAAAAACAGAAAAGTCAGATGATTTGAAGTTAATGGGGGCCGCATTTAACAACAGCAACACTTTATTAAAATGTCTCTTTCAAATTTCACACAACTCTTAGCCTTTGGGGTAAAAAGTCCTCAAAATGTTTATATTAAACTCACTGTATTATATATATATTGCATGTTGTGTTGTCAGTTCTTGGTTCATCTCTCTTGTTTCCGACAGACGCTGGATGCTGAAGGAGTTCTCGCTAAGCTGAACGCCGGGGGCTACACCGTTCGTGGCAATAGTCTGTTTATTTTCCACTTAATATATTCAATCATCTGAATGAGAAGTTTTTACACTCTAACATATTTATCGCCCCTTATTTAGCCCTGACTCTCAAGACAGCCCGTCTCCTGTTGACCTTCATGGACGTATCCTTTGCAACGGCCAAACATTTCTACTGGCACCAACCTGATCTGATGCAATATTTAGCTCAGAGAACAACGTTATAGTCTAGTTTCCCCGTTGATCAACTGTGACAAAAAACAGTAAATGGGGCAGCTTTAGCCAACATTGCTAATTTCCAGCTGTTGTCCCGAGCCAGATGATAATGCTCTTGAAGTTGATTCCCATCTATGCTATAAGGATATTGAGGTGCATTCCTTCGACTAATTCAAGTTCTTTAACCGAGGGCTTTCAGGCAGACCGGTCTGGAAACCTGAATGTGGTCGAGGTCTTCAAGATGGAGCACTATGCGGCTGTTGTCAGGCGGGAATATGTGGAGAGCTACGAGAGCAGGAACCCGCCCTCCGTCACTCAAACCCAAATGAAAAGGGCTTTGTCCGTCCACGGTGACTCGTTCTGTCTTCACACTGATTGCTTTTCTTATAACCACGTATTGAATCATCAGCCTACAAGCTTCTAGACACATTAAAGGTCTCCTATCGTGCTATTTTTAAGCATATCTTATGGGTCTCAGATATATAAAAATATATAATATATGATGTGTTTTGCTCAAAATACCAAACAGATCATGCATTTGAGACATCCCTCATATCCCTCTTTTCCAGCCCTGTTAGAGAAACGCTGATTCTGGGTCGTTAGCTTCAACAAAGAGGGGGTGGGAGCTAATGCCTGATCAGAATTCTACGGAGATACTCAGCTAAATGCTCCCGTGATCAAGGATTATTTCTGAAACAGTATGGAGTTCAAACTCTTTTTCTCTCTCAGGTTTACCACCAGGTGAGTTCCTTTTTGTATTTCCTGCTTCTTTACACATACTCTCTCCAGTACAGGTTAGCTCTGAGCGTTAGCGATGCTTGCTAATGTAAACACAGACCATATTACGTCCAAAACACGTCGCGCATTGTTTCTGATAGCAACGTTTCTGATAGGGCCGTGGGTGTAAAGCCCGCCCACATTTCAGATATTACGTCATATCGGCAGCAAATCTGGATCAGCTCCGTGGTTCCCCGTTTTTAGAGATGTGGGTACGGAGGAAAAGAGAGAGGGTTTTATTTTCTTTGTGAGTCTCCTGGGGACACATATTTATGTATAAAAAAGTGCATGATAGGAGACCTTTAAGGAAAGCAGAAGCACTCGAGTTGCATTTTGCTTAAATCTGGTGTTGCCTTGCAGAATTCGACTTGGACGATGAAACCTTCATAGTTCTGTGGAACGGGATCCGCTCCAGAGACGGGATCGAATACGACGAGTATGTGGCCGTCATGACCAAACTCCTGATCCTCAGAGGTAATATCAATCAATCAATCAATCAACAGCTTTATTAATCCTGCAAGCGGCTATTGGTTATGAGCAGCTTATGTCATGCACACAGGCAAGAACATACAGGTTGATAGAAACCAAATGATCTGTGCCCCACACTTAGTGCTGCCAGTGGTGGAGAGCAACACAGTGCAATTACATAATTCTATAGTACATGGTCTTTACTTTACTGTATTTCACCCAAGATATATAGTGCATCCACAATGTTGAATATAAGCTTCATGTGACGGCAGATCTGGTCCAGTGTGAGTTATATTTCTGAATCAAACGATGATGAACTGATGTTTTGGGTTTGAGGAGACTTCTTGTGTTAAAATCTACTTATTTATATCAATAGTTATCACCGCAATAAACCGTATTTAATTTAGTCTTAATGAACATTATTTAATTTCATATTCTGTTCTTGTACATATCATATCACATGTATATAGACTTCTTGCACTATTGTTGTATTTTATTATATATGTTGCATTGTTGGAGGAGCTCAGGTCAGGAGAATGTCATTGCCATTTCTACTCTGTAGCTTATGAGCATATGACGATAAAACCTTTGGATCTTGAATCTGATATTCAGCAGATTCTGCACGTGAAGATGTGTAAAAAGTTTTGGTTATAATTCAGTGATAATAACTCTTGCTTCTCGTCTCAGATCGTTTCAATACTCATCAGCTGAGGTTACCGTGTGACTGCCAGGTGGCCAGCTTCTCATACAAGCAGGTGAGCTGGAAAATATGCATGTGGGAATATTTAGATCCCATTTGGATGGATGACAATATCCTGTATCTGGTGTGGAATACATACGGTTATATTTTAATTTATAATATCTATTTTTTTCTCCTTTCAGTTCATGAAATCAGCCATAATCTGAGGGTCACATGGAAGCTGAATGGATTAAGGGAGTTTTTTTTTTAATTAGCACAGATGTTAAGAGCTGTCATTTTATTTCCTACTTTCACAAATCTTCTCTCTTCAAGGAGATATTAAACACTGAGAACAAGTTGTTGAGAGGTCAAGATTTTCTTATCAATGTCTGAAGTTTGTGTTTTTGGTTAACATGTGAATTCTGTACAATGACTTCCCACTTACAATAAAAGGTAATTGGTTAAAATATTCTTTATTTCTGTTGGTAGTTTATATAGAGAAATCTTAAAAATTGCAATTATGAGTAAACAGAAGTGAAAAACAACAATTCAAATAAATCCCAGCAGAACGCAGCAAAGTAGCTAAACTTTATAAAATGAACGTAATAATAATAATAATATTTTCTTCTGTCTTAGGTGTGATTTACTGCGATTGGGGAGTTAGATCTTGTTATTGTGTGACTATGGTGTTTTAAAGGGTTATTCAGATTCAATGAAATCACACAAAAACACCAACAAACAAACCCAATCAGGGCACCAGCGGACAAGCAACTTGTGCGAGGTCAAATGAGGAGTCTAGTGGCTTTAAAGAGAGCATGGATAACGGCTTCAGATCCCCGTCTGAAAGGGCTCTGACGGAAATGGAAAGAATACAAATTCTGAATATAGCTTTAAATCCCTTAAACTAGCTGCCTTTATAGACAGGTGTACACATTTATTAAGATTCATTTACTTATGAACTAAAAGTCACATTAGCTAACAACTGTAACCTGTAACAATCATTTTCGCTGCTACCACTGAAGTTCACTGCTTTGCTTCTGTGAGTATAGCACAATTCATACAGTGATGCAATTGAAGTGCTTTACAGGATCAAACAGATACAAACATAATACATTTGAATATGGTCAAAGTGAGAACAAATACAAAAACACACAAAACAAGTAAAAGAAAGAAAACGTGTTTAACAGTTACAAAAATAGAAAACTAAAAAGCCATGTTAAAAATAAATGTTTTTAGACCTGATTTTAATGATTATAAAGTGCTAGCCATTCTCAGATGTTCTGGGAGTTTGTTCCATGCATTAGGAGCATACATGCAGAAAGCTGCTTGCCCACGCTTTGATCTCACAAATGGAACAGTGAGCCGGCCTGAAGACCTGAGGACCTGAAGACCTGAAGACCTGAAGACCTGAGGGGTCTGCTGGGTTCGTACCGCTGAAGGAGGTCTGCTGGTGTCTGCTAGAAGATCTCCATCACCAGCTCTGATGCTGCAAAGTAGCTAAGCTTTATAAAATGAATGTAATAATAAAAATAACCGAGACCATGGAGTACAGGGCCCGTTCTCATTTCATCAAATTTCCCTCCTCGACTCCCCTTCTCGACTCCTATCCACACACACACACACACACACACACACACACACACACACACACACACACACACACACACACACACACACACACACACACACACACACACACACACACACACACACACACACACACACACACACACACACACACACACACACACACACACACACACACACACACACACACACACACACACACACACACACACACACACACACACACACACACACACACACACACACACACACACACACACACACACACACACACACACACACACACACACACACACACACACACACACACACACACACACACACACACCACACACACACACACACACACACACACACACACACACACACACACACACACACACACACACACACACACACACACACACACACACACACACACACACACACACACACACACACACACACACACACACACACACACACACACTTTCAGAATCAAACAGAGCACTCTCATAATAACGTAACACTATCAGAGACTGGTTATAGCTCCTCCAGAGAGCCTCCTCGACGCTCGATGCTCGGTCCTCGATGTGCATTTCGAGAAATGAGATGTCCTTCAACATGGCGCGCTAAAATTCATTTCCGGGTCACTACCGGAGGACCGAGGAGTCGAGGAGTCGAGGAGGGGGATTTGATGAAATGAGAACGGGTCCAGGTCTCTCCAGGTCTGTCCAGGGTCCTGCATTTATCCCTGGATCTCTGGAGAACAAATACAATCAGTAAGTGATGAACAATGCAAGTGTTGTAATGCACGTTACCACATTAACTTGTAGATGCATAGAGTTATATCCCATCTAAGATAATACATAGAATCTTGCAGTTTGAAAGTGTAATGGAAATGATGATTAAGAGTTATTAAAGCTACAGGGAAATCCATGGAGCCGTCGCTCTTCATGAGCACACAGCTCGGTGCAGGAGAATCCAAAGGGAAAGGAAGAAAACCTGGACTAATAGAGTCTGATATGGATCATCTAAAGATAAAGGAGCATTACATTTAAATAAAGAATAAGGACGAGGATAGTTACACTCTGAAGACAGTTCAGCTCAAAAGGTTCTGTTGACCTACATAGACATTGACTCTTACCGTTAGAAATCTGTAGGTTAATCCATGGAGCGGTCACTCTTCATGGACCCACAGCTCAGTGCAGGAGAAACTTCTCTTTCCTCCTCAGGACTGGAGCCAAAGCTGCGTTCACTGACAGGGAGAAATGTTAGGAGTTTATATATTTGTACTTAAAGAAACCCTCAATGAGCCTTTTAGGTCTTTGGCCTCTCATTGCATATTCTGCTATCACTGGTTTTTAATTGTGAACATTCTTTATTTATTTGATCAATAAATCAATGAAACAGCACCAAAATATACAGATTAAAATCCAGCCTTTGAATGTAAACTGGACTTGGATTATTTAAAGAGGGAATTACAAATTGATTAATAAATTACTTGTTATATTCCATTTCCTAATTCTTGTTTTTTTAAAGACCAAATCTTCATTTTGAAAGTCAAAATTGAATGTAAAAGTATTCCTGTTTGATAAAGTAGAAAAACAACTCATTCAGGTTTCCCTGATAACAATCAGGAGAAGTGAATACCAGGAGAGGTTAGGTCCACGTTCACGGGACCAGAGGTCCTGCCTATAAGAGGAGAATAAATAAAGACAGAAGTTATTTTATTCCTACAGTTCCTCTTCTTTCTTGTGGTATTTCTTAATTAAACATCAATGAAAACGTGTTATTATCCCAGTGTGTTGACTTCACTCTGCTTTCATCAGCATGTCCAATCTGCCCACTGATAACACATAGAAACCAGATACATGTGTTTGATGAAGCTTAGTATATATATTCAACCTTTACTCTATATGTACTTTCACCTGTTAAAGTTCAGAGTTTAACTCATGTCATTTTTGGTTTTTATTCATACTATCACTACATGTTTATTTGTATTCTATTCTGTTTATTTGCTGCTCCATCTCCCCGTCTCCTGAAGCCCGCAACCTGGGTGTCATCCTTGACTCCACCCTTTCCTTCCATTCCCACGTCAAATCTGTGACCAAATCGGCCTTTTACCACCTGAGGAACATTGCCAGACTCCGACCGTCACTCTCGGAGTCGGTTGCCGAAACCCTAGTGCATGCATTTGTCACCACCCGCTTGGACTACTGCAATGGTGTCCTGTTCGGGGTTCCCAAAAAAAACCTGGACAGGCTCCAGTATGTCCAAAACTGTGCTGCTAGGGTACTCACGCACACAAAGCCGTGGCAGCACATCACTCCCACCCTCATCCACCTCCACTGGTTGCCGGTCAAGTCCCGTATATCGTACAAAGCACTCCTCCTTACCTACACGTCCCTCCATGCCCTTGCCCCCCAGTACCTATCGGACATCCTTCACCCACATGCCCCACCCCGGAACCTGCGGTCCTCAGACTCTGGCCTGCTCACCACCCCCCGCACCAAACTGCAAACCTTCGGGGACAGAGCCTTCAGTGTGGCAGCCCCCACCCTCTGGAACGCTCTCCCTGCGGAGATTCGCAACATCCCCACACTCAACACCTTCAAAAGGCCCTCAAGTCCCATCTGTTTGCCAAGGCTTTCGGCCCCTAATCGATCTGTTGTTTGGTCTGTCTGACTTTTGTTTTGTTATGTTTGTTTTTGCCCTATTACTGTAAAGCGACCTTGGGTCCCTTAAAAGGCGCTATATAAATGCAAGCTATTATTATTATTATTATTATTATTATTATTATTATTATTATATATTTCCATAATCTAAAGAAAAATCACATTACATTTAAATAGAAAATAAGGACTAGTCAAATAGATATAAATCAACAATGCAGGAAAAGTAAAGTAGTGTTAAATGATATAGTTATACTCTCAAGACAATTCAGATCAAAAGGTTCTGTTGACCTTCAAATACATGGACTGAAAACTAAAGATTCTTACAGTATCTCCCTGATCTCACGTTCTAATGCAGGAGGGTCTTCACTCTCCTCCTCAGCCCTGCAGAGATGGAGCGTTGACAGACAGGTGGAAGGTTCAGGAGCTTACTGACTAAAAGATGGTGTTACAAATGTCCTCTCATAGCAAAACATGTTTGACAAAGGAGGTCAGCTGGACTAGTGTTTCTCAAATGGGGGTGTGTGTACCCATCGGAGCACTTTGGAGTACTCTGGAGGGGCTGAGAGATTAAAGAAGAAGTTACATTACATGTTTCTTAGTTGTTTGTGATTTTTAAACTCACCATAAAAAACATATTTATTTTAAGTAATTAAACTAGGAGGAAGAGGAGGAGGAGGAAGAGGAGAAGGATGAGGAGGAGGAGGAGGAGGAGGAAGTGTAAACCTGGTCTAAATGTGTCTGATCTCCATCATCTATAGAAAATGGCTGACCTACCTTTAAGGTAAATCATGCCGTTTGAAAGACAGAGGTAGATGGACACGGCTAACAACATTTCTAACGTGAACAAGCATGATCTACATGATGGACATATTCCCCCTGCTGTTCAGACACTCAGTTAAGGTATCGAGAAAGAACGGGTTGAGAAACGTCATAATGCTGTAAAGTCTGTTAAGTATCATCTAAAGGGAAATGTGCATCACATTGAAGTTAGATATATGGACGAGGCACACATTGTTATCAGCACTGCAGATATGTTAGTGTTAAATAAAACTGATATACTCTGAAGAACATGAAAGCTGGAAAGGTTCAGAAACTGAGTCTTACCGTTTGAAATCCATGGGGAAATCCATGGGGAAATCCATGGAGCGAGCACTCATCATGGACCCAGAGCTCGATGCAGGAGAACCTGCTCTCTCCTTCTCAGGACAGGATTTAGGTCTGCGTGGACGAACAGAGAGAAATGTTAGGAGTTTATATATTTGTACTTAAAGAGACCCTCAATGAGCCTTTTAGGTGTTTGGCCTCTCATTGCATAATCTTCTATCACTTGTTTTAATTGTGAACATTCTTTATTTATTTGATCAATAAATCAATAAATCAATGAAATAGCACCAAAATATACAGATTAAAATCCAGCCTTTGAATGTGAACTGGACTTGGATTATTTAAAGAGGGAATTACAAGTTGATTAATAAATTACTTGTTATATTCCATTTCCTAATTCTTGTTTTTTTAAAGACCAAATCTTCATTTTGAAAGTCTAAACTGAATGTAAAAGTATTCCTGTTTAATAAAGTAGAAAAACAACTCATTCAGGTTTCCCTGATAACAATCAGGAGAAGTGAATACCTGGAGGAGAAAGGATGATGGTGCCTGAAGTGGCGCCTGTAAAAGGAGAAGAAATAAAGACAGAAGTTATTTTATTCCTACAGTTCTTCTTCTTTCTTGTGGTATTTCTTAATGAAACATCAATGAAAACGTGTTATTATCCCAGTGTGTTGACTTCACTCTGCTTTCATCAGCATGTCCAATCTGCCCACTGATAACACATAGAAACCAGATACATGTGTTGATGTAGCTTATATAATGGAGGAGGAAGAGGAGGAAGAGGAGGAAGAGGCAACCCGGTATCACGGCAAGACGTGAACATGTGACGATTTCGTCCCTTGAAACGTGACAGTTACACGGTATTGTTAACATGGCCCAACGAGTGGAGATATACCCGGAAATGCCAAGCAAATGCTCTACCACGACGGTCTGTTGTTATTGTCCATAATAATATAATAATTTTTTTTTTTTTTTAATCGTCACACTCGATTTCGCCGATTTTCTTGTTGCCCCAGCTGGTCGACACCTCTTTTAGCAGAAACAAAGGCTACATTCATGTATTAAATAAGGTTGTTAATCCATGTGTGTAGTTGTGGAATTAACGGACGTGACGTTGTGCGATTGCGTTGCCAGTAAGTATTCTCTCCGCTTTACTTGACAAACCCCGTGATTAGTCCTCAAGCTCTGTGATTGGATGTTTGAGTGTGCGCCGTGAAATGGGATGGAACCACGGCAGACTGTCCAAAACTGGATTTGCCATCCCATGCCATTTCGTTACAGCAGCATGTGTAACAGTTGTAAATATGCAGTGGTGTTTATTTGTAAATCATTTACAGGGTTCTTACACCTTTTCCAAGGTCAATTTCAAGCACTTTTCAAGCATTTCCAAGGTGCATTTTCAAGCATCTTACAGCTGTTGTAAATTACATATTGATATACACATACTTATACTCAAATGATTATTTCCCTACCTCACATTAAATCAGATAAACAACCACATGTGTGTTTCATAATAGCATTCTACATGAGGATGAAAAATGTTAGAAAAGAAAACTAAGTTTAATATTTCAAAATGAGTGACCCATCTGTACGTAGACTGGGCATCCCATATAACCTGGCTGAGCAATATAAAACAATCAGCCAAATAACTTTTCAATATATTATTGATTACTATTTTTGAGGTACTTTTAGGTTGGCAGTAAACACAAGTCAGAGGTAAATGGTGTACTTGTACTCCACTACATGTATTTAATACCTTTAGTTACTTCACAGATGTGGATGAATGATGTGAAATATAATCAAGTGTTAAATCAGACTTTAGTTCCACCTGGAGTAAATCCACAAGCTACCCTGCAGTATACAAAGTCATTCAAACTAGCTGCACCTTTACCAGCTTTGAGAACACTTTCATGATCAATCATTATAAAACATATCATATACAATTATT